TCCCAGTGACCCCCAGTTTACCCCAGTGAACCCCAAATCCTCTCCCAGCACATCCCAGTGACCCCCAGTTTACCTCCAACACCCCCTCCCATCAGATCCCAGTTCACCCTCCCCAGCACATCCCAGTGACCCCCAGTTTACCCCAGAACCCCTTCCAACAGCCCCCCAACTCCCCCCACATCAGATCCCAGTTCACCCCCCCAGCACATCCCAGTGACCCCCAGTCTGCCCCAGAGTCCCCCAATCATCCCAGCGACCCCCATTTTACCCCCAAACCCCCCTCCCAGTGCTCCCAGTGCTCCCAGTGCCCCCCACTCACCGACACTGGGGGACCAGGCTCCGTAGGCGGGCGTGGCCGCCTGGTTCCAGGGGGTCATGGCCGGGGACATCCCCCCCATGGGGCTGGGGGCCGACCCGAAGAACATCCCGGTGGCTGCAGACACAGGGGGGGTCAGGGGGGGTGGGACCCCAAAATCTGGGGGGAACCCCCCCAAAATGTGGGAGAAACCCCCCCAAAATGTGGGGGAACACCCCCCCCAAAATCTCGGGGATCCCCTCCCCACTGAGGTAACTGGGACGGGCTGGGGGAGGCCCTGAGAATGTTGGGGGGGGGCTTTGGGTCACCATCTATGGGGTCTCCCCCCCTCATCCCCTGTGGGATCCAGGTGTCCCAGTCCCAGGGGACCCCAAACCTGGGAGGAGGACCCCAAACCCGGGTGGGGACCCCAAAACCGTGGAGGGGGACCCCAAAACCCGGGAGAGGGACCCCAAACCTGGGAGGGGACCCCAAAACTGTGGAGGGGGACCCCAAAACCCGGGAGGGGGACTCCAAAATCTTGGGGGGGACCTCAAACCTGGGAGAGGGACCCCAAAACCCAGGAGGGGAACCCAAAACCTGGGAGGGGGACCCCAAAATCTGTGTGGGACCCCCCCTAGTGTGGGACAGGGGGTGGAGGCCAAGATGACCTTGAGGGTCTCCAGGTCACCACCCCTGGGGTGTCCCTGTCCCAGGGGGAGACCCCAAAACCCAGGGGGACCCCAAAACCTGGGAGGGGGACCCCAAAACCCGGGAGGGGGACCCCAAAACCTGTGTGGGACCTCTCCTACTGTGGTGACTGGGACAGGGGGTGGAGGCCAAGATGACCTTGAGGGTCTCCAGGTCACCACCCCTGGGGTGTCCCTGTCCTGGGGGGAGACCCCAAAACCTGGGAGGGGGACCCCAAACCTGGGAGGGGGACCCCAAAACCTGGGAGGGGACCCTGAAACCTGGGTGGGGGACCCTAAAACCTGGGAGGGGGACCCCAAAACTTGGGTGGGGACCCCAAAACCTGGGATGGGGACCCCAAAACCGTGGAGGGGGACCCCAAAACCTGGGTGGGGACCCCAAACCTGGGAGAGGGACCCCAAAACCTGGGAGGGGACCCCAAAACCCGGGTGGGGACCCCAAAACCGTGGAAGGGGACCCCTGAGGGACTCACGGCCGCCGACGCCGAGCCCGGGCAGGGCGCTGGGGATCTCCATGCCGTGCTTGCACTTCTCGGCGTCCAGCAGGAGGTCGAAGCAGCCGGTGCCGGCCGGGGCCAGCTGGCCCAGCATGATGTTCTCCGACACCCCCTTTATGGGGTTGCTCTCCCCGTGGGCTGCAGCCTCCATCAGCACGTCCACCTGGGGGGGGGACACCCTAAAATCAGCCCCAGATCCCAATAAACCCCCAAAATCAGCCTCAGAGCACCCAAATCCCCTAAAAACCACCTAAAATCCTCCATCAGTGTGCTGGGTGACAACCATGAGGTGTTCCCATATCCCAAATCCCCCATTCCCACCTCCACCCCAAATCCCCAATCCCACCCCAAATCCCACATTCCCACACCCCAAATCCCCAAATCCCCCATTCCCACCCCAAATCCCCCAATCCCACCCCAAATCCCCCATTCCCAATCCCCATCCCCACCGTCTCCTCGAAGGAGCACTTCATGAGGAGCCCGGTGTCCTGGCGGTTGGCGCCGTGCCGGGTGATGGCTGTGAGGTGTTCCCATACCCCAAATCCACCCATATCCCACAGCCCCAACCCCAATCCCACCCCAAATCCCCAATCCCAATCCCCAAATCCCCACCGTCTCCTCGAAGGAGCACTTCATGAGGGGCCCGGTGTCCTGGCGGTTGACGCCGTGCCGGGTGATGGCCGTGAGGTGTTCCCACACCCCAAATCCCACATTCCAGATCCCAATTCCCACCCCAAATCCCCAAATCCCCATTCCACCCCAAATCCCCCAAACTCCACCCCACCGTCTCCTCGAAGGAGCACTTCATGAGGGGCCCGGTGTCCTGGCGGTTGACGCCGTGCCGGGTGATGGCCGTGAGGTGTTCCCATACCCCAAATCCCCCAAATCCCCCATTCCCAGCCCCCAAATCCCCCATTTCCATTCCCAATCCCCATCCCCACCGTCTCCTCGAAGGAGCACTTCATGAGGGCCCGGTGTCCTGGCGGTTGACGCCGTGCGGAGTGATGGCCGTGAGGTGTTCCCACACCCCAAATCCCACCCAGATCCCCCATCCCCAGCCCCAATCCCAGCCCAAATCCCCCATTCCCAGCCCCAAATCCCCAATTCCCACATCCTCCCAATCCCCATCCCACCGTCTCCTCGAAGGAGCACTTCATGAGGGGCCCGGTGTCCTGGCGGTTGACGCCGTGCCGGGTGATGGCTGTGAGGTGTTCCCACACCCCAAATCCCCCAAATCCCCCAATCCCACACCCCAAATCCCCAAATCCCCAATCCCCCATTCCCAATCCCCATCCCCACCGTCTCCTCGAAGGAGCACTTCATGAGGGGCCCGGTGTCCTGGCGGTTGACGCCGTGCCGGGTGATGGCCATCAGGTGCCCGCGGGAGGTCATGGTGTCGCACAGCAGCGCCAGGTGCCGGTAGTTGACGTAGGAGCCGTCGAAGGAGATGACGTGGTACAGCTCCCGCTCCAGCGCCTTCCGCACCGCCTCGATGCCCAGCACCTGCCCGGGGGGGAAAACACTCAGATCCAGGGGTTTGGGAACCCCCAAATCCCAGATCCAGGGCTTTGGGAACACCCAAATCCCAGATCCAGGGCTTTGGGAACCCTCAGATCCAGGGGTAGAGCTCCCGCTCCAGCGCCTTCCGCACCGCCTCGATGCCCAGCACCTGCCCGGGGGAAAAAACCCTCAGATCCAGGGGGTTGGGAACCCCCAAATCCCAGATCCAGGGGTTTGGGAACCCCCAAATCCCAAATCCAGAGGTTTGGGAACCCTCAGATCCAGGGCTTTGGGAACCCTCAGATCCAGGGGTAGAGCTCCCGCTCCAGGTGCCTCCCGCACCGCCTCGATGCCCAGGTGCACTGCCCAGGGAAATCCCTCAGATCCAGGGTGTTAGGAACCCCACAGATCCCAGATCCAGGGGTTGGGGAACCCCTAAATCCCAGATCCAGGGGTGTGGGAACCCTCAAATCCAGGAGTTTGGGATCCCTCAGATCCAGGGGTTTGGGATCTCCCAGATCCAGGGCTTTGGGAACCCTCAGATCCAGGGATTCGGGAACCCCCAAATCCAGAGGGCTGGCATCCCTGAGGACCCAGATGTCCCTCAAACTCCCTCCTAGATGTCCCCAGGTGTGCCCAGGTGTGCCCAGGACACTCACAGTGAAGATCTCCACGATGTCATTGGACGTTGTCCTCACGGGGTCCCTCATCCCCCATGTGTGTTCCTCAGCCCCCAGGTGTGCCCAGGTGTGCCCAGGTGTGCCCAGGTGACTCACAGTGAAGATCTCCACGATGTCATTGGACGTTGTCCTCACGGGGTTCCCTCACCCCCCAGGTGTCCCCAGGTGTGCCCAGGTGTGTCCCTCAGCCCAGGTGTGCCCAGGTGTGTCCCTCAGCCCCCAGGTGTGCCCAGGTGTGCCCAGGTGTGCCCAAGTGTGCCCAGGTGACTCACAGTGAAGATCTCCACGATGTCATTGGACGTTGTCCTCACGGGGTCCCTCAGCCCCCAGGTGTGTCCCTCACCCCCCAGGTGTGCCCAGGTGTGTTCCCCAGCCCCCAGGTGTGCCCAGGACACTCACAGTGAAGATCTCCACGATGTCATTGGACGTTGTCCTCACGGGGTCCCTCATCCCCCATGTGTGTTCCTCAGCCCCCAGGTGTGCCCAGGTGTGCCCAGGTGTGTCCCCCAGCCCCCAGGTGTGCCCAGGTGTGTCCCTCACCCCCCAGGTGTCCCCAGACACTCACAGTGAAGATCTCCACGATGTCATTGGACGTTGTCCTCACGGGATCCACGTCCTTCTCGCTCAGCACCCTCATGAGGCTCACGCCGTCCGTCTCCAGGATCCACTCCTGCAGCGCCTTGAACTCCCCGTCCTCGGTGATGATGATCTTCTTCTTGTTGTCCGTCTGGGGCAGGTGCATGTACACCTGGGGGGGGGGAAGGGGGGTCAGGGGCACCCAGGGGGCTGCTGGGGTGGGAGGGGCTACAGGTGCATTCATGGGTGTTTTGGGGGTCCTGGGGGTCTCCTGGAACCTCCTCGAGGTGTCCAAGGAGAGCTCCAGGTGCTCCTGGGGAACCCTCCCAACCCCTTCCTGGAGCCCTCCAGGTACTCCTGGGGACCCTCCTGGAGACCCCAGGTGGTCCTTGGGACCCCCACTCATCCCTGACCCCTCAGGTGCTCCTTGGGACCCCTCCTGAACCCCTCCAGGTATCCCTGGAGACCCTCCTGGAGCCCCCCAGGTGCTCCTGGGGAACCCCAACCCTTCCTGGAGACCTCCAGGTACTCCTGGGGACCCTCCTGGAGACCCCCAGGTGCTCCTGGGGACCCCCCACCCATCCCAGACCCCCCCAGGTGCTCTTTGGGACCCCTCCACCCCTCCTGAACCCCTCCAGGTATCCCGGACCTCCTGGAGCCCCCCAGGTGCTCCTGGGGACCCCCCACCCATCCCAGACCCCCTCAGGTGCTCCTTGGGACCCCTCCACCCCTCCTGAACCCCTCTCCAGGTACCCCTGAGGACCCCCCAACCGCTTCCTGGGCCCCTCCAGGTATCCCTGGAGACCCTCCAGGAGCCCCCCAGGTAGTCCTGGAGACCCCCAGGTGGTCCTTGGGATCCCCCCACTCATCCCAGACCCCTCCAGGTACCCCTGGGGACCCTCCTGGAGCCCTCCAGGTACCCCTGAGGACCCCTCCACCCCTTCCTGGGCCCCTCCAGGTATCCCTGGAGACCCTCCTGGAGCCCCCCAGGTAGTCCTGGAGCCCCCCACTCATCCCAGACCCCTCCAGGTGCCCCTGGGGACCCTCCTGAACCCCTCCAGGTGGTCCTGGTGCCCCCCCAGGTGCCCCCACCTTGCTGATCTGCTCGATGCCCTGCAGGGTCATGTCGGTGAGCATGTTGGACTCGATGCAGCGCAGGAAAACGTCATCATCCATCTTATCCACCACCTCCTCCTCCTGGGGACGGGGAGGGGGCTCAGGGCTGACCCCCAGCCCACCCACGGGTGACCCCCAGCCCACCCTGTCACCCCCCCAGCCGGGGGTGCCCAAAGTCACCCCACCAGGACCCCCCAAAAAGCTCCTCAGATGCTCCCAAGGGTCAACCCAGACCCCCCAGACACCCTCAAGGGTCACCCAGGAACCCCCAAAACACCCTCAAGGGTCACCCAGGACCCCCCAAACACCTTCAAGGGTCACCCAGGACCCCTAAAACAGCCTCAAGGGTCACCCCAGACCCCCAAAACACCCTCAAGGGTCACCCTGGACCCCCCAAACACCCTCAAGGGTCACCCAGGACCCCCAAAACACCCTCAAGGTTCACCCAGGACCCCCCAAACACCTTCAAGGGTCACCCCAGACCCCCAAAACACCTTCAAGGGTCACCCCAGACCCCTAAAACACCCTCAAGGGTCACCCAGACCCCCTAGACACCCTCAAGGGTCACCCAGGACCCCCCAGACACCCTCAAGGGTCACCCCAGACCCCCAAACACCCCCAAGGGTCACCTCAGACCCCCCAAAACACCTTCAAGGGTCACCCAGGACCCCCAAACACCCCCAAGGGTCACCCAGGACCCCTCCAAACACTCTCAAGGGTCACCCACGACCCCCAAACACCCTCAAGGGTCACCCAGGGCCCCCCAAAACACCCCAAGGGTCACCCAGGACCCCAAATACCATCAAGGATCACCCCAGACCCCCAGATACCCCCAAGGGTCACCAGGACTCCCCAGAAGCTCCTCAGAACCCCCAAAGCCCCTCCAGACCCCCAGACCCCCAAAGCCCCTCCAGGCCCCCCAGACCCCCAAAAGCCCCCATGCCCCCAGGCCCCCAAAAGCCCCCCATGCCCCCCCACCTCCTGCATCTTGTTCTCGTCGCTGTTCATGATGCGGATGCGAAGCACCAACTTCTCGGCGTTGTCGTCGTTGAAGATGCAGTTCAGGTCGTCCCCAAAGCCTGGGGGGGACACACAGGGGTCACCCCCACACTCAGGGCACCCAATGGACCTCCAGGGCCACCCCAGGACCCCTCAAACTCCCCAGAAGCCCCCAATCTGCCCCCAATCTCCCCCCCAGACCCACCAGCGTTGATCTTCTTGGCGATCTGCTCCATGGGGAGCTTGTGGTCAGTCAGGGGCTCCAGGCTCACCCAGGACCCCACAAACCCCCTGAAACCCTCCCCAAACCCTCTCAAACCCCCCAATCTCCCCCTTTAACCCCCCCAGACCCACCGGCGTTGATCTTCTTGGTGATCTGCTCCATGGGGAGCTTGCGGTCGGTCAGGGGTTCCAGGCTCACCCAGGACCCCCTGAGGCTCCTCCAGGACCCCCCAAACCCCCTCCACTCTCACCCAGGACCCCCCAGATCCCCTTTAAAGCCCCCCAAGACCCACCGGCGTTGATCTTCTCAGCGATCTGCTCCATGGTGAGCTTGCGGTCCGTCAGGTGCTCCAGGCTCACCCAGGACCCCCAAACCCCCTCAAAGCCCCCAATCTCCCCCTCAAACCCCCAGTCTCCCCTAAGCCCCCTCAGACCTCTCAAAGCCCCCAGACCCACCAGCGTTGATCTTCTCGGCGATCTGCTCCATGGTGAGCTTGCGGTCGGTCAGGGCTCAGGCTCTCCAGGACCCCCAAACCCCCTCAAACCACCTGAAACCCCCAAACCCCCAATCGTCCCCTAAACCCCCAAACCCCCTTCAAGCCCCCAGACCCACCAGCATTGATCTTCTCAGCGATCTGCTCCATGGTGAGCTTGCGGTCGGTCATGTGCTCCAGGCTCACCCAGGACCCCTCAAACCCCTAAATCTCCCCAAACCCCTGAAACCCCCAAACCCCTTCAACCTCCCCAGACCCACCAGCGTTGATCTTCTCGGCAATCTGCTCCATGGTGAGCTTGCGGTTGGTCAGGGCTCCAGGCTCACCCAGGAGCCCCCAGACCCCTAGAAACCCCCAGCCTCCCCCTCAAGCCCCCTCAAAGCCCCCAAACCCTCCTCCAAAGCCCCCAGACCCACCAGCGTTGATCTTCTCGGCGATCTGCTCCATGGTGAGCTTGCGGTCGGTCATGTGCTCCATTCTCACCCAGGACCCCCAAACCCCCTCAAACCACCTCAAACCCCCCAAACCCCTCAATCCCCTTTAAAGCCCCCCCAGACCCACCAGCGTTGATCTTCTTGGCGATCTGCTCCATGGGGAGCTTGCGGTGGGTCAGGGGCTCCAGACTCACCCAGAACCCCGAGGCTCCTCAGGACCCCACAAACCCCTCCAGTCTCACCCAGGAGCCCCCAGACCCCTTTAAAGCCCCCTAGACCCACCAGCGTTGATCTTCTCGGCGATCTGCTCCATGGGGAGCTTGTGGTCGGTCAGGGGCTCCAGGCTCACCCAGGACCCCCAAACTCCCTCCACTCTCACCCAGGAGCCCCAGACCCCCAAACCCTCCCCAAAGCCCCTCAGACCCACCAGCGTTGATCTTCTCGGCGATCTGCTCCATGGTGAGCTTGCAGTCGGTCATGTGCTCGGGCTCACCCAGGACCCCCAAACCCTCAAACCCCCCAATCTCCCCCTCAAACCCCCCAATCTCCCCCCTAAACCCCCTCAGACTCCCTCAAAGCCCCCCCAGACCCACCAGTGTTGATCTTCTCGGCGATCTGCTCCATGGTGAGCTTGCGGTCGGTCAGGGGTTCCAGGCTCACCCAGGACCCCCTGAGGCTCCCCAGGACCCCCCAAACCCCCTGAAACCCTCCCCAAAGCCCCCCCAGACCCACCGGCGTTGATCTTCTCGGCGATCTGCTCCATGGTGAGCTTGCGGTCGGTCATGTGCTTGCGGTCGAGCTCCACGCGCAGCAGCCAGGGCGAGATGCGGCTGACGTCGAAGTCGGGCATCTCGTAGTACACGTTCACCCACTCCTGGTCCTCGGCCACCACCGTGCTCTGCGGGTTGGGGTCGTAGTAGATGGCGGTGTTGGCTGTCACCTTGCGCAGCGTCGTGTGCTCCAGGCGGCACAGGATGTCCTGGGGGGGACAATGGGGACAGTTTGGGGACATCAGGGGACATGAGGGGACATCAGGGGACATGGACATGGGGTGCTCCAGGCGGCACAGGATGTCCTGGGGGGGACAGCAGGTCAGTTTGGGGACATCAGGGGACATGGGGTGCTCCAGGCGGCACAGGATGTCCTGGGGGGACATGGGGACATCAGGGGACATCAGGGGACATGGACATGGGGTGCTCCAGGTGGCACAGGATGTCCTGGGGGGACATGAGGGGACATGAGGTCAGTTTGGGGACATCAGGGGACATGGACACATGGACATGGGGACATGGTGTGCTCCAGGCGGCACAGGATGTCCTGGGGGACAGCAGGGGACAGGGGACAGCAGGGGACATGAGGGGACAGCAGGGGACATGGGGTCAGTGTGGGGACATGGACACATGGACATGGGGACAGGGGGTGCTCCAGGCGGCACAGGATGTCCTGGGGGGACATGGGGACATCAGGGGACAGCAGGGGACATGGGGACATCAGGGGACATGAGGGGACAGCAGGGGACATCAGGGGACATGGACATGGGGTGCTCCAGGCGGCACAGGATGTCCTGGGGGGACAATGGGGACATCAGGGGACATGAGGGGACATGGACACATGGACATGGGGTGCTCCAGGCGGCACAGGATGTCCTGGGGGGACAATCAGGTCAGTTTGGGGACAGCAGGGGACATGGGTGCTCCAGGCGGCACAGGATGTCCTGGGGGGACATCAGGGGACATGAGGGGACATCAGGGGACATGAGGGGACAGCAGGGGACATCAGGGGACAGCAGGGGACAGCAGGGGACAGCAGGGGACAGCAGGGGACATGGGGTGCCCCAGGTGGCACAGGATGTCCTGGGGGGGACAATGGGGTCAGTTTGGGGACATCAGGGGACATCAGGGGACATCAGGGGACAGCAGGGGACATGGACATGGGGTGCTCCAGGCGGCACAGGATGTCCTGGGGGGACATCAGGGGACATTGGGTCACTGTGGGGACATGGACATGGGGACATGGGGTGCTCCAGGCAGCACAGGATGTCCTGGGGGGACATGGGGACATGAGGGGACAGCAGGGGACATGGGGTGCTCCAGGCGGCACGGGATGTCCTGGGGGGGGACAATGGGGTCAGTTTGGGGACATGGACACATGGACACGGGGACACGGGGTGCTCCAGGTGGCACAGGATGTCCTGGGGCCTCTCCCACATTATCCCCATCCCCAAGCTGTCCCCATGCCATCCCTGTCCCCAGGCTGTCCCCAAGCCCCTTCCCCCCAGAAGTGTCCCCAGGCTGTCCCCCCTAGTCTGTCCCCAAGCCCCTTTCCCCCAGAACTGTCCCCAGGTTGTCTCCATGCTATACTTGTCCCCAGGTTGTCCCCAAGCTGTCCCCATGCCATCCCTGTCCCCAAGCTGTCCCCAAGCCCCTTCCCCCCAGAGCTGTCCCCAGTCTGTTCCCCCCAGAGCTGTCCCCATTCTGTCCCCATTCTATCCCCCCCAGAACTGTCCCCATTCTGTCCCCCCCAGAGCTGTCCCCATTCTGTCCCCCAGTCTGTCCCCCCAAGAGCTGTCCCCAGTCTGTCCCCCCCAGAAGTATCCCCAGTCTGTCCCCCCCAGAGCTGTCCCCATTCTGCCCCCGTGTCCCCCCCATTCTGTCCCCATCCTGTCCCCGTGTCCCCACCTTGGCCCTCTCGGCGTCGCGGGCGCTCTGGCCCAGCAGGAACACGGTGAGCGACGGCGTCTTGGGCTTCTTGGAGATGTTGATGAGCTCCTTGAGGCGCGGCACGCCCAGGGTGACGTTCTTGGCCGACACCCCCGCGTAGTGGAAGGTGTTGAGGGTCATCTGCGTGGCCGGCTCCCCCAGCGACTGCGCCGCCAGCGCGCCCACCATCTCCCCGGGGTGCGCCTGGGGGGACAGGGCGTGTCAGGGACCCCCATGGGGGGACACATGGCCCATCAGGGACACCCATGGGGGGATACAGCACGTCAGGGACCCCCACGGGGGGGACAGGGCACGTCAGGGACCCCCCAGACCCGCCTGGGGGGACAGGGTGCGTCAGGGACCCCCACGGGGGGACACACAGCATGTCAGGGACCCTCATGGGGGACAAGGTATGTCAGGGACCCTCATGGGGGGGATACAGCACGTCAGGGACCCTCATGGGGGGACAGGGCACATCAGGGACACCCATGGGGGGACAGGGCATGTCAGGGACACCCATGGGGGGATACAGCATGTCAGGGACCCCCCAGACCCGCCTGGGGGGACACACAGCATGTCAGGGACACCCACAGGGGGATACAGCATGTCAGGGACCCTCATGGGGGGACAGGGCATGTCAGGGACCCCCATGGGGGGCACACGGCATGTCAGGGACCCCCCAGACCCGCCTGGGGGGACAGGGTGCGTCAGGGACCCTCACGGGGGGGATACAGCACGTCAGGGACCCCCCAGACACGCCTGGGGGGACAGGGCACGTCAGGGACACCCACGGGGGGGATACAGCACGTTAGGGACACCCACGGGGGGACAGGGCACGTCAGGGACCACCCAGACCCACCTGGGGGGACAGGGCATGTCAGGGATCCCCCAGAGCCGCCTGGGGGGACAGGGTGCGTCAGGGACACCCATGGGGGACACATGGCATGTCAGGGACCCCCAGACCCGCCTGGGGGGACAGGGGACGTCAGGGACACCCACGGGGGGACACACGGCGTGTCAGGGACACCCATGGGGGGATACAGCACGTCAGGGACCCCCCAGACCCACCTGGGGGGACAGGGCATGTCAGGGACCCTCATGGGGGGACAGGGCATGTCAGGGACCCTCATGGGGGGACAGGGTGCGTCAGGGACCCTCATGGGGGGACAGGGTGCGTCAGGGACACCCAGACCCGCCTGGGGGGACACGGCACGTCAGGGACCCCCCAGAGCCACCTGGGGGGACAGGGCATGTCAGGGACACCCACGGGGGGACAGGGCATGTCAGGGACCCTCATGGGGGGGATACAGCACATCAGGGACCCCCCAGACCTGCCTGGGGGACACACAGCATGTCAGGGACACCCACGGGGGACAGGGCACGTCAGGGACCCCCCAGACCCGCCTGGGGGGACAGGGCATGTCAGGGACACCCACGGGGGACAGGGCACGTCAGGGACCCTCATGGGGGGACAGGGCATGTCAGGGACACTCATGGGGGGGACAGGGCATGTCAGGGACCCCCATGGGGGGACAGGGCATGTCAGGGACCCTCATGGGGGGACACATGGCATGTCAGGGATCCCCCAGACCCTCATGGGGGACAGGGCGTGTCAGGGACACCCATGGGGGGGACAGGGCATGTCAGGGACCCTCATGGGGGGACAGGGCACGTCAGGGACCCTCATGGGGGGACAGGGCACGTCAGGGACCCCCACGGGGGGACAAGGCACGTCAGGGACACCCATGGGGGGACACATGGCATGTCAGGGACCTCCATGGGGGGATACAGCACATCAGGGACACCCATGGGGGGATACAGCACGTGAGGGACCCCCAGACCCGCCTGGGTGGACAGGGCACATCAGGGACCCTCATGGGGGGACAGGGCACGTCAGGGACACCCACGGGGGGGACACACAGCATGTCAGGGACCTCCCAGACCCGCCTGGGGGGACACACAGTACATCAGGGACCCCCATGGGAGGACAGGGCACATCAGGGACCCTCATGGGGGGACAGGGCATGTCAGGGACACCCATGGGAGGACAGGGCACATCAGGGACCCTCATGGGGGGACAGGGCATGTCAGGGACACCCATGGGGGGACAGGGCACGTCAGGGACCCCATAGGGGGACAGGGCATGTCAGGGACACCCATGGGGGACACACGGCACTTCAGGGACCCCCCAGACCACCCCAGGGGGAGCTGCAAATCACCCCCAAATGGGGCTCCAAACCCCCCTCGGGTGGGGCTCCAAACCCCTCCCAGATAGGGCTCCAAACTCCCCTCAGGTGTGACCCTAAATCCCCCAAACCTCCCAAAATCCCCCCTCACAATGGCCTGGTTGAACTTGGACTCGATCTCCCCCAGCAGCCACTCCAATCCCTCCCAGACTGACTCCAAACACCCAGATTGAGTCCAAACACCCAGATGTGACCCCAAACCCCTCAGATGTGACCCCAGACCCTCCAAACCCCCAAATCCCCCCCAAATCCCCCAGATATGACCCCAAATGTCCTCACAATGGCCTGGTTGAACTTGGACTCGATCTCCCCCAGCAGCCACTCCAATCCCTCCCAGATTGACCCCAAACATCCAGACTGACTCCAAACCCCCCAGATGTGACCCCAAACTCCCCAAACCCCTCAGATGTGACCCCAAATGCCCTCACAATGGTCTGGTTGAACTTGGACTCGATCTCCCCCAGCAGCCACTCCAATCCCTCCCAGACTGATTCCAAACCCCCCAAATCCCCCCCAAACCCCCCAGGTGTGACCCCAAATGCCCTCACAATGGCCTGGTTGAACTTGGACTCGATCTCCCCCAGCAGCCACTCCAATCCCCCAGGTGTGACACCAAACACCCCAAATTCCCCCCAATCCCCCCAGATGTGACCCCAAACCCCCTCTCACAATGGCCTGGTTGAACTTGGACTCGATCTCCCCCAGCAGCCACTCCAATCCCTCCCAGACCCCCAGACTGACTCCAAACCCCTCAGATCTGACCCCAAAGACCCCAAATCCCCCCCAAACCCCCCAGATGTGACCCCAAACTGTCCTCACAATGGCCTGGTTGAACTTGGACTCGATCTCCCCCAGCAGCCAGTCGAAGGCCTCCCCGCTGAGCCGGAACTCCTCGACCATCCTGCGGCTGCAGAGGGTGGAGCGCAGGTGGATGTTGAAGAGCAGCGTCGCGTTCTCCTGCGCCTGCCGGCTCAGGGGGTCCTCCCCGTTCACGATCACCAGCTTGCGGCTCAGCTCCTTCACCCCTGCGGGGGCAACGGGCTCAGGGGGGCTCCAGGGCCGCATCCAGAGCACCCAGAACCTCCAGAACCTTCCTGGGGGCTCCCCAAGAGCATCCAGAGCACCCAGAACCTCCAGAACCTTCCTGGGGGCTCCAGGGCTGCATCCAGAACCTTCCTGGGGGCTCCAGGGCCTCCCCCAGAGCATCCAGAACCTTCAGAACCTCCCCAAGAGCATCCAGAACCTCCTCAAGAGCACCCAGAACCTTCCTGGGGGCTCCAGGGCCGCATCCAGAGCCTCCAGAACCTCCTCAAGAGCACCCAGAACCTTCCTGGGGGCTCCAGGGCCGCATCCAGAACCCAGAACCTCCCCAAGAGCATCCAGAACCTCCTCAAGAGCATCCAGAACCTTCAGAACCTTCCTGGGGGCTCCAGGGCCGCATCCAGAGCATCCAGAACCTTCAGAACCTTCCTGGGGGCTCCAGGGCCTCCCCCAGAGCATCCAGAACCTTCAGAACCTCCCCAAGAGCATCCAGAACCTCCTAAAGAATCTCCTCAAGAACCTCCAGAACCTTCCTGGAGGCTTGAGAACCTTCAGAACCTCCTCAAGAACCTCTAGAACCTTCCTGGAACCTCAAGAACCTCCAGGACCTTCTCATAACCCCTCAAGAACCTCCACAACTTTCCTGGGGGTCCCAAGAACCTCCAGAACCTTCTTGGGGTCCCACAAACCCAGAGCAGCTTCTGGGGGGAGTGGGGGCCTCAAGAACCTCCAGAGCCTTCCTGGGGTCCCAAAAAAAACCCCTCCAGATCCTTCTTGGGTTCCTCAAGAACCTCCAGAACCTTCCTGGGGTCCCAAAAAACCTCCAGAAGCTTCTAACGCTCCTCAAGAACCTCCAGAACCTTCCTGGGGTCTCAAGAACCCCTCAGAACCTTCTCGAGAGCTCCTCAAGAACCTCCAGAGCCTTCCTGGGGTCCCAAAAAAAACCCCTCCAGATCCTTCTTGGGTTCCTCAAGAACCTCCAGAACCTTCTCATGGAGTCCCCAAAGAACCCTCCAGATCCTTCTTGGGTTCCTCAAGAACCTCCAGAACCTTCCTGGGGTCCCAAAAAAACCCCCTCCAGATCCTTCTTGGGTTCCTCAAGAACCTCCAGAGCCTTCCTGGGGTCCCAAAAAACCCTCCAGATCCTTCTTGGGTTCCTCAAGAACCCAGAGCCTTCTGGGGTCCAAAAACCTCCAGATCCTTCTTGGGCTTCCTCAAGAACCTTCCTGGGGTCCCAAAAAAACCTCCAGATCCTTCTTGGGCTCCTCAAGAACCTCCAGAACCTTCCTGGGGTCCCAAAAAACCCTCGAGCAGCCTTCGTGAGTGGGGGCCTCAAGAACCTCCAGAGCCTTCCTGGGGTCCCAAAAACCTCCAGATCCTTCTTGGGTTCCTCAAGAACCTCCAGAACCTTCCTGGGGTCCCAAAAAAACCTCCAGATCCTTCTTGGGCTCCTCAAGAACCTCCAGAACCTTCCAGGGGGGTTCAAAACTGCCCCCCACAACCCCAACCCCCCCAGATCTGGGGATTCTCATCTTCAAGGCCCCCCAAACCCCCCAAAACCCCCCCATTTGGGGCCCCCCACTCACCCTCCACCACCTTGACGGGGTGCAGGTCGGAGGGCAGGCGGGAGTTGATGTGGAAAATCTTCTGGGCGTTCCAGATCATCCTCAGCAGATTGCAGGGCAGCACCACCTGGGGGGGCAACACCGGGGAGGGGGGGTAAGGGACCCCAAAACGGGGAGTAAGGGACCCCAAAACGGGGAGCAGGGACCCCAAAATGGGGGTAAGGGACCCCAAAACGGGGGCAGGGACCCCAAAATGGGAGTAAGGGACCCCAAATTGGGGGGTAGGGACCCAAAATTGGGGGTAAGGGACACAAAATTGGGGGGCAGGGACCTCAAAACGGGGGCAGGGACCCCAAATTGGGGGTAAGGGATCCCAAAATGGGGGTAAGGGACCCCAAAATGGGGGCAGGGACCCCAAATTGGGGTAAGGGACCCCAAAATGGGGGCAGAGCAGCAAAAATTGGGGGGCAGGGACCTAAAATTGGGGGTAAGGGACCCCAAACTGGGGGCAGGGACCCCAAATTGGGATGCAGGGACTCAAAACTGGGGGGCAGGGACCCAAAACTGGGGTCAGAGCAGCAAAAATTGGGGGTAAGGGACCTAAAATTGGGGGTAAGGGACCCTAAAATGGGGGCAGGGACCCCAAAACGGAGGCAGAGACCCCAAAATGGGGGTAAGGGACCCCAGATTGGTGGTAAGGGACCCCAAAACGGGAGTAAGGGATCCCAAATTGGGGGTAAGGGACCCAAAATTGGGGCAGGGACCCCAAAACGGGGGCAGGGACCCAAAATTGGGGGTAAGGGACCCCAAAACGGGGGGCAGGGACACGAAATTTGGGGTAAGGGACCCCAAACTGGGGGGTAGGGACCCGAAACTGGGGGGTAGGGACCCAAAATTGGGGGTAAGGGACCCAAAATTGGGGTCAGAGCAGCAAAAATTGGGGGTAAGGGACCCCAAATTGGGTGGCAGGGACCTCAAATTGGGGTCAGAGCAGCAAAAATTGGAGGTAAGGGACCCAAAATTGGGGGGCAGGGACCCCAAATTGGGGGCAGGGACCCCAAAATGGGGGTAAGGGATCCCAAAACGGGGGTAAGGGATCCCAAAACGGGGGCAGGGACCCCAAATTGGGGGTAAGGGACCCAAAAATGGGGGCAGGGACCCCAAATTGGGGTCAGAGCAGCAAAAATTGGGAGTAAGGGACCCCAAATTGGGGGTAAGGGACCCCAAAACGGGGGCAGGGACCCGAAATTGGGGGGCAGGGACCCCAAATTGGGAGTAAAGGACCCCAAAACAGGGGCAGGGACCCAAAACTGGAGGGCAGAGACCCCAAATTGGGGGGCAGGGACCCAAAATTGGGGGTAACGGACCCAAAATTGGGGGCAGGGGAGCAGAAACTGGGGGTAAGGGCAGCAAAAAATGGGGGTCAGGGCAGCTCAGGGTTGGATTTTAGGTTGGATTTTGGGTTGAGATTTTGGGGTTTGGGTTGGGGTTTGGGTTGGATTTGGCGCTTTGGGTTGGATTTTGGGTCAGATTTCAGGTTTTGGGTTGCGTTTCGAGGTGCCCCTGTCATGTTTTGGGGTATCCCAGGTGGTTTTGGAGTCACATTTGGGGGTTTTGGGGTCCCACCTTGCTGTCCCCCGTGGGGAAGATGACCCTGAGGACCTCCCTGTCGTGTTTGGGGGTATCCCAGGGGGTTTTTGGGTCACATTTGGGGTATCCCAGGGGGTTTTTGGGGTCCCATTCTGGGCTCTGGGGGATTTTGGGGTCCCACCTTGCTGTCCCCCGTGGGGAAGATGACCCTGAGCACCTCCCTGTCGTGTTTCGGGGTCACATTTGGGGTTTTGGGGTCCCATTCCAGGGTCTGTGTGCCCACCTTGCTGTCCCCCGTGGGGAAGATGACCCTCAGCACCTCCCTGTCGTGTTTTGGGGTCCCACCTTGCTGTCCCCCGTGGGGAAGATGACCCTCAGCACCTCCCTGTCGTGTTTTGGGGTCACATTTGGGGTTTTGGGGTCCCACCTTGCTGTCCCCCGTGGGGAAGATGACCCTGAGGACCTCCCTGTCGTGTTTTGGGGTATCCCAGGGGTTTTGGGGTATCCCAGGTGGTTTTGGGGTCCCACCTTGCTGTCCCCCGTGGGGAAGATGACCCTCAGCACCTCCCTGTCGTGTTTTGGGGTCACATTTAGGGGTCTGTGTGCCCACCTTGCTGTCCCCCGTGGGGAAGATGACCCTGAGCACCTCTCTGTCGTGTTTTGGGGTCACATTTGGTGGTCTGGGGGGTTTAGGGGTCCCACCTTGCTGTCCCCCGTGGGGAAGATGACCCTGAGCACCTCCCTGTCGTGTTTTGGGGTCCCACCTTGCTGTCCCCCGTGGGGAAGATGACCCTCAGCACCTCCCTGTCGTGTTTTGGGGTATCCCAGGTGGTTTTGGGGTCCCATTCTGGGCTCTGGGGGGTTTAGGGGTCCCACCTTGCTGTCCCCCGTGGGGAAGATGACCCTGAGCACCTCCCTGTCATGTTTTGGGTCACATTTGGGGTATCCCAGGGGGTTTTGGGGTCACATTTGGGGTTTTGGGGTCCCACCTTGCTGTCCCCCGTGGGGAAGATGACCCTGAGCACCTCCCTGTCATGTTTGGGTTGTGTTTTGGGGTCACATTTGGGGGTTTTGGGGTCCCACCTTGCTGTCCCCCGTGGGGAAGATGACCCTCAGCACCTCCCTGTCGTGTTTTGGGGTATCCCAGGGGGTTTTTGGGTCACATTTGGGGGTCTGGGGGGTTTAGGGGTCCCACCTTGCTGTCCCCCGTGGGGAAGATGACCCTGAGCACCTCCCTGTCGTGTTTTGGGGTACCCCAGATGGTTTTGGGGTCACATTTAGGGGTTTGGGGTCCCACCTTGCTGTCCCCCGTGGGGAAGATGACCCTGAGCACCTCCCTGTCGTGTTTGGGTTGTGTTTTGGGGTATCCCAGGGGGTTTTTGGGTCACATTTGGGGTTTTGGGGTCCCACCTTGCTGTCCCCCGTGGGGAAGATGACCCTGAGGACCTCCCTGTCGTGTTTGGGGGTATCCCAGGTGGTTTTGGGGTCACATTTGGGGTATCCCAGGGGGTTTTGGGGTCACATTTGGGGGTTTTGGGGTCCCACCTTGCTGTCCCCCGTGGGGAAGATGACCCTCAGGACCTCCCTGTCGTGTTTTGGGGTCACATTTGGTGGTCTGGGGGGTTTTGGGGTCCCACCTTGCTGTCCCCCGTGGGGAAGATGACCCTGAGGACCTCCCTGTCGTGTTTTGGGTTGTGTTTTGGGGTATCCCAGGGGGTCTGTGTCCCCACCTTGCTGTCCCCCGTGGGGAAGATGACCCTGAGCACCTCCCTGTCGTGTTTTGGGGTCACATTTGGGGGTCTGGGGTCCCACCTTGCTGTCCCCCGTGGGGAAGATGACCCTCAGCACCTCCCTGTCGTGTTTTGGGGTATCCCAGGGGGTTTTTGGGTCACATTTGGGGTATCCCAGGTGGTTTTGGGGTCCCACCTTGCTGTCCCCCGTGGGGAAGATGACCCTCAGCACCTCCCTGTCGTGTTTGGGTTGTGTTTTGGGGTATCCCAGGGGGTTTTGGGGTCACATTTAGGGGTCTGGGGGGTTTTGGGGTCCCACCTTGCTGTCCCCCGTGGGGAAGATGACCCTGAGGACCTCCCTGTCGTGTTTTGGGGTCCCACCTTGCTGTCCCCCGTGGGGAAGATGACCCTCAGCACCTCCCTGTCGTGTTTTGGGGTCCCACCTTGCTGTCCCCCGTGGGGAAGATGACCCTCAGCACCTCCCTGTCGTGTTTTGGGGTCACATTTGGGGTATCCCAGGGGGTTTGGGGTCCCACCTTGCTGTCCCCCGTGGGGAAGATGACCCTCAGCACCTCCCTGTCGTGTTTTGGGGTATCCCAGGGGTTTTGGGGTCACATTTGGGGTCTGGGGTCCCACCTTGCTGTCCCCCGTGGGGAAGATGACCCTCAGCACCTCTCTGTCGTCGCGCATGCGCTCGAACTCGCGCTCCAGCTCGTTCTGGATGTGGGCGTTGGACAGGATGTCCTTCACCAGCTCCTCCTGCAGCGTCCGCCGCAGCGCCCGCTCGTTCGTGTAGTCGA